CTGTCACCGGGCCCATACCGCACCTGAAGCACGCCAGACACCGTAGTACGAAGCCACTCCGTAACAACCCTCGTATCCGTACTGAATCAGACACCATAGTCGACCCAAGGTAGCACCACCCCATGTTGTCCATGCAACCCCCGCTCTCAGAACACTCCAAATGCGGTAATGTTAGTAATCAAGCAAACCAGGGAAAGCAACGGAGGGAACCTCGACCATCGGCAGTAGTGAAAACTGTTAAGATCCGGGGAAAAAGTTCAATCAGGGGCCAGAGCTAATGGTGGGTAATCGACGCGAAATTAGGCCAATCTCCTAATAATCATGGGTTCCCGTCCCTTTCATCATTTTTCATCATTCTTCCCTTTCCTTAATTCTATTGTTGGAAATAGTAAATTAACCGTAAGATCCCCAAAATAAAATTCTGAAAAAGTTTAAATAAATGGTCGAATTCCTTTTGTTTCTTTTCTCTTTTACCCTTTATAATCTTTTTCTATGTTTTTAATTTCATTGCCGGGAACATAAAATAAAAGGGGTATTCCCCCTTGAATTTAATGCCGTTAAAAATAAAGAAATTAAGGGATATTATGTTTTTCCCTTCTCCCTTACTGGTCGTAATCCCTTTTCCCCATCTTTAATTATGGTACTAAAATAGACAAAAATTTGAGGCCTCATTTCGGCCCCGGTCGTATACCGCAAAAATCGTGGCTGCGAGGTCAGTTCCCGCGATGCCTCTCCGCGGCAGGCCAATCTGGGTCTAACCCTTTGAACGGCCGGAAATGACGGTCCGTTGATGTGCCGAGTGCGACCACCCATCTTGCCATCTTTGAGGGTTATCCGTAAGGTTCAGCGCGCCCAAAATCAAGGGTGCCCTGAGCTCCCCTAATCTCCGCTGCCTGGTCTAACCAGAGTACCGTCAAAACTCAGACTCGTCTTCGCGCCTAAGTCCCAAAACCGTAGATTTCAGGCGGCGCACTGTTTGTGGCCGCCTGACACCGAGTCTTCGGAGAAGGAGCTGTCCGATGTAGTTCTGGATTCGCTGTCGGAGATCTTTTTCTTCTTAGAGTACTTCTTGGCGGTTTTCTTCTTCTTTTTGACAATCTTGCTCTTCTTCGAAATCTTCGGGCCTATCCGCTTCGGAGTCACTTGCTTCGGACTCAACTTCACAGTGTCTTGTCTGGATGTAATCTTCTTTGCTTGTTCTTCGGCTACCCTTCTTTGCTCGCGCTATTTTTCCGCAATGCTAGCTTCTAAGAGAAGCCTCGTCTCTTTCGTTCGTCGAGTAAGATCCAACTCGCGTTTGCGTTCTTCCTCTTCTTTCATCCTCTATTGCTCATCCCTCTGCCTCTTCTCACGTTCCTCCTCCTTTTCCTTCATCATTTCTTTGACAAAAGTTCGTACCTCATCATCTTGTTGATAGCTTCTACCACGTCGTGACCAACAATCACGGGCCATATGGCCGGTCTTCCCGCAATCATAGCACTGAATGCCAATCCCCCTTCCCCCGTTCCCATTCATGTTCCCATTATTCATGTTGTTCGTGTTGTTCATCCTACTTATATGCGGAACTGCCTTACCACTTACGCTTCGTCCACCTTCCTTCGACTAAAAGAATCTTACCGTCTCCAAATATTGACAATCTCCTCAGTTTCCGAGCTATTGAAAGTACGACGTAGTCTAAGCAGTCGAATTGGTCTGCGGATCCGTCGGAGTACCACTTGAAGCTGTCTAAAGACTTCGCACCTAATTCTAGGATTGAAAATCAAATTTGCTGTGGCGAAAATCGGACGTATGGTATGTTGCATATAGTCTTCTAAAAGTTGCACTAGCCTAGCGCGCTCCACGCAATCTGAGTTCCTAAATCTCCTACGTACTCTTCCACAAGTTGGACATTGAAGAGGCATGTTGGTCAGACCAAATCACTGATCAGAATGAGTCCTAGACCTAAGCAAACTAGACCGACACCAAAAACACATATGCGGAGTGATTCCCACATCCCTACAAAACTACGTTCAGTCCTCCATCCACGTCTACCCTTCCCACTTTGTCTCTCTCGACTAACATCGACCCTCTTCGGCTGTTCGTGTTAAGTGTAAAAACCTCTTCGGCTATTATAATTCAAAACCCTCCAAAAATACAACGGCATAGCCACAGATAGGTATACAGACTCCGGTTACTATGTTCCCAAGAGAGGAAGACTGCGGCCACACAGTCTGTCAGGGAAGCGCAACGGAGGTCGGGAGCAAAAGACAGGAGAGACTGCAAGCAACAGTTGGAAAAACTCAGAAAACTCCAATAGCTTCAAAAGATAATATTTCAGAGTTACACATCAACCAAAGCTCAGTCTGATCATGTCCTCAGCTCCATAACCACTATAGTTGTCTTCTTCCCCAGGTAGTAGGCAAAGCGAAGTCCTTCTACCGGTTTCGTCCGCTCGCTTAGCGGACTCATCAGGAAGGTGTACCAAGAGATACTTCTGTCGAGAAGAGAGACCCAGGACCTTGTCTCTATGGATTTTATCCTGTCCCTAGAGCGAGTTCAGTCACTACCAACTACCTATTCCTCCTCATCGCCAGGAAAACTGGCCTTTCTAAAACCAAAAATCGAAAAATTCTGCTTCAAAATTTGAAAAAAACCATCCGTGCAGTTAAAAGTGAAATACCTAGATTGCCCAGTACAAAAGGAAAAAGAAAAAGGGAAAAGAGAAAAACCGGTACATCCGGTCCACTGTTCTTGCACATAAAATAAAATAAAAATAATAAATCAAAATAAGTGTCGGGGTACGCAAAAGGAATAAAAGTGAAAATACGTTAGCACTAGCTACGTATTCTCCGAAGGATGTGATGCAGGTACATCTCGCACTCTTCGCCCAGGGTTCGGTTAGATATAAAGGCGCGATGGACCAAAACAAAATTTAAAGGCGCTAGGGACCGAGAAAAATAAAATAAAATAAAATACTTGGACAGGGGGACAAAAATTTGTCGCGACCTGTAGCTCGGGGAAGATGCCTTGATCTGCCAAGTGTCAGTTCTGACCAGGGCAGTTCAGTTCCTGTGAAACTTCGAAAACTGTTGTCTTCATCCCGTGGCTACCCGTAGTTGTCTGACCAGGGACTGTCCCCCCGGGTGAGGGTACTGTGCCCACCGAGTCTCGGGGTCGAGAATCACTACTCGTTGTAGACGGTGTACAAGTAGGAAATACTCCAGTAGCCCTCGGATAAGTCAATCCCCCGTAGCTTTGGCCAATTTGGCCAAAGCCCCGAGAGAGACCTCCAGGGGATAACCCCGGAGGAAACTTTCAGCAATAGCGTAAGCCAGTACGCTAATACTTAGTGCCTTAGAAGTTGAAGCAGTCCAAAGCCTTTTCAGAGTGGCCAGTAGCGTAACCTTTTGGGTCTTCTTATCCGAATAGCTCTCAAAAAGTCCAAAGCCTTTTTGGTCTTCTTATCCGAGAGAGAGAGAGAGAGAGAGGGAGATGGCGGGCAGGGACGGCAGGGGGGGCGGCGGCGACGTTGGTGGGGGGAGAGAGAGAGAGAGAGAGAGAGAGAGAGAGAGAGAGAGAGAGAGAGAGAGAGAGAGAGAGAGAGAGAGAGAGAGAGAGAGAGAGAGA